AAAGTAGGGCTGTGCGATTAATTGATTATTCAAAATTTTAATTAATCATAAAGTAAATAACTCAATTATTCGATTAATTGGAAATTATGATTACTCAAAAGTTCAGTTACTCGAGTAATCAAGATTTTGATTAACCAAAAACAAAAATATTTGAGTAATTTGCTTTATGATTAATCAACATTATGAATAAAATGAGTAATCAACATTTCAAAGTACTCTTTACATACATACATATAAAGCAGTTGAAATTCCTTGATACTTTGAAAAAAAACGTTTCTGTTTTCAAAAATTAAAATGAAATACATACATACATACATATTTTTTTCATATACAGAATATAAAAAAGAAAATAAGCATTTTCCAAAGCAAACTCTTTTAACGAGCAAAATTAATGTTTTAGAGTAATCATATTTCAAGTAATTCAATTAATCATCTTCATTTAGAAAAATTTGTTTATCTTGAGAAGACTTTAGTATTAGAAAATGGTAAAAGAAGCAATTGTGTATTATTACTTGAAGTGTCCTGAAGAGAAACAGGGGTTTTCGATAGAAAAATATTGATTTTCAAGAATTCCATACCATTTCAACGAAAAACAAGGGTACATTTTTCCGAATAAAGGCCTGTATGCAGTTCTCAAGAAAAGCTAAAATTCCATACAAAATGAAGTACAAGAAATGGCTAGAAATTTTCTTGAGTCAAATTTCCTTCAGACAGTACGAATTACTGTTCAATTTCTGTATGTCGAAGCTTCTTTAGCCACCAAACTCATCGATCGATCAATCTAATACAACTGACGACTGATCGATATTGGCGTCCGGCAATGGTTTTGATAGCCAGCGTTGACAAAGAAATGGCTATCTCTCTGCTCTTTCTCGCTTCTTTATTACGCGGTGCTTTTCCATCTCGCCTCCAAAATCAACCGCGATCCTTTTCACTACCTGGACGGATACGGTCAAGCTGCAATTGACGAAGCTACAAACCTGTTAAAAAACCGGATGCCTAAACTTTTATCAACGCGAATATAACTTATCGACGGCAAAAAAAATTAACAATGTACTCTTATCTTTTGAGTTTGAAATCTTTTGCAAATTTAAATCACTTATCAAGATAAATAGCACCTTAATACTTATTAATATCCTTACATTCATATCACATTTGTTACCATCTAAATAAATACTGATTCCCTTTGCCTGAAGATGACTGCGCGCTGACAAGCGCTCGGCCACTTTCCACACACGCTACACTATGAGGACCACAGCATTAGAATTTACATTTTAAATTGCTTACCAAACTCAATTTGTACGCGCGTATACATACTGCGTACAACGACAGCACTAACAATATCTAACAAAACCAAAAACAACAACAAAGATAAGATGAAAACAAAGCACAGCCATAAAACATTGCAACTAAAACAAAGTCGGGCGTATAGAATAGGGAATGTTTTTAGACATACATACATAACTATGAATGGAGAGTATGTATGAAGGACATAAAAATGTATATATGTATGTGTGTAGGTATATGTCAGCACTTCACTGCAAGTACAGCATCCATGGTAAATGAATGGCAAGGTTAACCAAATAACCGCAACATTAGCGAGCTGAAAGCATGTGTAAGGGGGGGGTATACTGCAGTAAGCTTATATGTGTATGTATATAATATGTATGCATGTACATTAAAGTGGTCCAAAAATGTATGTAAAAAAATAAGGTCGCATTTATAATGCCGCCACCCCCTAAGATTGTTCTATACCGATAAAAAATATATCCCTATATTTATACCCGAGCGCACTTGCGCACAAGGGTATTATAACTTTGTTCACATAACGGTTGTTTGTAACAGGCAAAACGAATCGAGATAGATATAGACAAATGTATACATAAATGATCAGAATGAAAAGAGAAATCGATTAAGTGGTGACTGTCTGTCCGTCCGTCCGTCCGTCCGTCCGTCTGTGCACACTATAACTCGAGTAAAAATTGAGATATCTTAACGAAACTTGGTACGTGCACTTCTTTTGGGCGTAGGACGGATGGTATTGAAGATGGGCGAAATCGGACAATAACCACGCCTACCTCCCATATAACGGTAATTTTAAGAAAAACGAAAACTGCGATATTTTAGTAACTACTGAAGATAATTCACTCAAAATTGATATTTGCAAAAGAGTTTTAGACGAAAAATAAGAATATTACAAAACCGCTTATGGTAACCGCTACACCAATTTCTTCCAAACTTGGCACAGTTGTTGGTCCTGGTACAACATACCAAATGGCCGAAAATTTCTAAAATCGGACAATAACCACCCACATCCCATATAACGGTAATTTCTAGAAATACAAAATCTTCGATAAATCAGTAAATATAGAAGCTAATTTATTCAAAATTGATGGTTGCAACAATTCTTTACCAAGAAATACGTTTATGACAAAATTTTGGAAAATGGGCGTAGCACCGCAAACTTGTGATATGTATCTCGCTAACCGTTCTAGCAATTTGTACCAAGCTCGGTATGGTTATTGTGCTTGCCACATAAAAGCAAACCGTTGAAAATTGTTGAAATCGGACTAAAATTGAGGCCGCTTTTCATATAACGGTAAATTTAAGAAATGCTTGAAATTTCAATATTTCGAAATTTAAGGACGCTAATTTACTTAAAATGTATACACCCCGGCTTATCATGTAGCGGTAGCTTTCGGAAAGGAGGAAACATATATTTAATAATTGCGCCGGGTATTTAATGTTCGGCTCCGCCCGAACTTAAACTTTCTTACTTGTTTTAATTGGATACTTAATACGATAGTAGGCAGTAAAAACAGTGTTAAAATTTTTTCCCGCGACATCCTTGGTTAATATTTAATCAGTTTTATTAATTAAAATTCTTAAACATTTTCCGTACCATTTAAAGGAAGCTTTTAAGTTTGGCTGTTGCTGCATTTATTCGCTTGTATTGATGTTTGCTTTTGGTTTTCCCACAACGTGCCACGTGCGCTATTGTTGCCAAGAGGCTTTTGTCTTACGTTGGCATTGCGGTTTTTCCGGTATTCGCAGCTTACATTTCCGGCTTTGTACACGCAGCTTGGTAATGAAGTGCATTCGGATTTCTACGGACATACATACATATCCATATATGTACATAGAAGCATGCTGAAGCATTAACGTTTGTGTAGAATCTGCATACGTACATACATACTTACATGCAACTTGCAACTTCCTTTGTGGCCCACTTGACATTCGATTATTGTTTTTGTTACAGGCAAAACTGGTTTCGACACTTCACAACTTCTAACGTCCATTTTGATTTTCCTCTATTTATAACTGGCTTCAAAAAAAGGAGGAGGTTATCAATTCGTCGGAATTTATTTTTTTTCATTTTCATTTATTTTTTATTTCTTTTTATGTGTGTTACTTTGGACCACGTCAACCGATTTCGAAAATTCTTTTTGCATCAGAAAGGTAGTGTCTCAGCGGTGGCCCCTACTAATCTGTTTCGGTTTTGTTTTTTGCTTAAAAATTACTTGTAGTTTGGAAGATCCACAGCTTTCTACACGTGGTGTTTTTAGTTCGAGAGTATTTTCATGGTTGCTTCTATTGTGTTGATGGTGAAATCGTTATCTGAGTTTAGCTAAGAGTGGGAAATGGCGGTGACTGTGCTCGACGTTTTTGTGGTTCTTGCGGTTGCCGTAATACTAGTTTGCTGGAAGTTCAATTTTGCTGGCATGCTTTCACATTAAGCAGTGACCTGCGATCACCCCACGAACAGCCTAAATCGGATACGTTCCGTGAGATGAAGGGCCTGTGACCTCTCATTTTCAAAGCTCGGCTAGCTGCTCTACAAGTTTGACCTTCCGCCCATAGTTTATTTGCCACCAGTATAGTTTGCACTAATCCACACAATTTATATGCTAGAGGTACTCTCGCATCGTAGGCGATGTTTACAGACTTGCCAATCCGTCTGACTCGCAGTTAGATGAGACGTATCTACATATGGCCCGGTGGCTGCCAGATTTTTAAGAATATTGGGGTTTTATATGAGGTTGCGCAATACTGCAAAGCTTTTATAGTGGCTTAATTATACGAGAAAAAAGTAACCGCCTGCAGATGAAGATTTGCATCTACTTGAAACGGCTTCCTCGCATAACTTGGACGATCTTTCGTTGACACAACTTTCACTGCAGGGGCGGGACTAGGATGCCTGTTAAGAATACCTTTGTATACTTTGCAGAGGCCTACATGTACGGATCTCCGGTGGTCTGCAGTAAGATGGCCTCGGGATATCCTCGGTCGAGGACTGCCAGTCCTAGGTGCTCTTTGGCAACTTCGTTAAAGAACTCCGAGTACCCAAAGAGTTTGAAGGGGCAGAATTTATTGAATGCCTAGACCCCTTAGGTTGGTACGTGGCATTGTCTGATTATCGCTGCCTTTTTGTGGACAAGTTCTGATTGGTTATATTGCCGTTTTCCCTTGTGCCTATTTCGACTGACGACAGTTCCTTCTAGTCCTTGCGAACGAGGTTCTTCCGCAAATTTTTCAAGATACTTGAACTACTCTTCGGCTTCTTTGTGCTAAAAACTTAATCTGCGGTGATTTGCTGGGGTATTTTTCGAAGTTAATGGGGATAAGCTTTACTTGATGAAAAAAACCCCTTCAAAAACCGACCAGTCAATTGCCAGTGTTGAGTCCGTGAAATGAAGATTGGAAAAATTTGCATTCGAGTAAATGATATTGGGGTGAGGCAAGGTTAATCTAGCTGATCGTATACCCCGATTGAACCTCAAATAAATTTAATGTAGAAATAATATGGGATGCTAACGCTTTTTGCCAATCTATGGATCATTTGAGGTTCCACTTCAGCGGTATTCTCCTGTTTTCTGTGCAGAGTGCGGCAAAGCTATTCCAGTACATTTCTTGACATCATCTGCCATAAAATAAGGAAGCCCCTCTGATTTTATATAGATTTGGAAGTTTTTTCAGATGTGTTCAATTAATCTTTTTTTTTTCTCTAGTGTTCTTTATGTGTCAGCTACACATGCACACATATGCTATTTTTCCAAGTAAGCAGCGCTTCTGGCAATCTCACCTACTACTTGGGTTCCTTTGATGGTTTTACTATTTTCTGCCAACTTCTTTACTGATTCTCTGCTTCTAAGAAATTTTTTTGACGAAATGTTATATGCGTTGATTCCCTTTATTCCTGACTGACTATGGAATATAATGCAATAGTTAGGCAATTTAGGTTCTCATCAAATACCCAACTCTTTGCAATAGACTTCAGCTTCTAATTGGGCCGCCCCTACTTTCCTTTACGTGTATGCGCCTGAATGGTTTGCAACGTTCCCTGTCAATCAAGACTTGGATCCTTGTGGACTGTATTACATACGGTGGCGAGAATTTATATAGTTACATAGGGCAAAGACATTTTGGCAAGTTTTTGTTACTATTCTTTGCTTAAGAAGTATTTATTCTTTTTTAATACAGCTTACTATCTAAAAAAAAAAAATATGGAAAATTTAAATTAAAAATATTTACTATTTTTTTTTATGAAAATACAGCTTACAATCTAAAAAAACCATGTAAATCAAAATTTCAAACTTTGTAGAACATTTATA